GTGGGCATTTTCCCCGGGGGGGGGAGGGGGGGGGCGGTGCTGGAGGCAGCCGATCAATGATTCTCTCTCATCATTAATGTTTCTATCTCTCCCTCTCCCTTCCTCTCTGAAATCAATATATTTTTTAAAAAAGTTTCCCAGACAAGAAAAATCTAAACCAGTACAATAAATGTTTAAAGGGACTCCCTTAAGTAGAAAAGATCAAAATATGAATAAGAAAGTACAGGAAAGAAACACTTAGTAAAAGCAGTGGATCAAACAACTATAAAGCTAGTACAAAGACTAAAAGAAAAGGTAGGAAGATAATGTATAAATACAACAATAAATTACAGGATACATACAAACACACAAAGTAACAAATGACAAAAACATAAACGTGGGAAGAGTAAATATTGTAGGGATTTTAGAATGTGTTTGAACTTAAGCGACCGTCAACTTAAAAAACTGCTTGTACACAGGCCTGGCTGGGCAGCTCAGTTGGTTAGAGCATGGCCCTCATACACCAAGGTTGTGAGCTCAATCCCCGGTCAGGGCACATACAACAATCAACCAATAAATGCATCAATAAGTGGAACAACAAACTGATGTTTCTCTTTCTCTCTCTCTCAAATCAATAAATTTTTAAAATTGTTTTAAACAGACTGCTTATAATCATAGCTTGGTATATATAAAGCACATGGTAACCACAAACCAAAATCTACAAAGTATACAACAAATAAAGATAAAGCAAACCAAACATGACACTATACAAAGTCATTAACATACAAGAGAACAAAACAAGAGAATTAAGAGGAAAAAGAGAACCAAAAAACAATTCATAAAATGACAATAACTACATACCTATCAAGAATAATTTTAAATGGATTAAATGCTCCAATCAAAGACATAGGGTGACTGAATGAATAAAAAAACAAGACCCATACATTTGCTGCCTACAACAGACCCACTTTAAATCAAACGACAGATTGAAAGTAGAGGGATAGAAAAGATATTTCAGCCCAGCTGGTGTGGCTCCGTGGTTGAGTGTGGACCTGTCAACCAGGAGGCAGGTCGATTCCCAGGTTTCAGGTTGAATCCCCAGTAGGGGGCGTGCAGGAGGCAGCTGATCAATGAGTCTCATCATTGATGTTTCTATCTCTCCCCTTCCCTTCCTCTGATTAATAAAAACATATTAAAAAGAAAAGATATTTTATGCAAATAGAAACAAAACAAAACCTGAAGTAGCAATACTTATATCAGACAAACTAGATACACCAAGAACTATCACAAGAGATGAAGAAGGGTATTTCATAATGATTGTAAAAAATGAAGCCAACAAGAAGATAAAACTCTTATAAACATCTATACACCCAACACAGGAGCATCTAAATATATACAGTAAATACTGACAGATATAAAGGGAGAGATCAACAGTAATACAGTAATAGAAGGGGACTTTAACAACCTATTGCCATCAATGCATAGGTCAACCAGAAAAAACCGACAAGGAAACATATACCTTCTTGCCAAATGCACATACAAAATTTTGCAGGATAGACCATGTCAGGCCACGAAACAAACTTCAATAAATTGACAAAGGTTTTCAAGAAATTGAAAAAGAACAGCTGACAGAGTTCACATCATTATATGGACCAAGAGGATGGTAAAATAGCCAGGTAGGAAGCCAGGAGTGTCAGTGTGGAACGAGGTTGGCGATTTGGAAAAACATCACCATGGCAGGCATCACACTAGGGGAAGTGACTTAGAAGGTTGGCAAGCCCCTGAGTTTTGACCACAACCCCCACAAAATCATGCTATTGACAACCATGTTCCTTTCTCAATAATGAGCAAATGGAGAGCTTTATCCAGAGCTAGGATGAGCAAAGCAGAAAGGATGAAAGACCAGGAGGTGAGGCCCATTAGTGGAGTCAGCTGCAAATCCCCATGGTCAGTGAGTTAAGGCTGGAACTCCTTGAGAAATCTTACCATTGATTTCACACTGACTCCAAACAAAGCTGCACCTACACCTGCTGGGTACCGTGTCAAAAAACAGATTCTGATCGAGTCTGCGGTGGCCTGAGATCCTGCATTCCCAAAAGCTCCCAGTGATGGCAGAGATGCTTGCCCACAGACCACGCTCTGAGACGTGTTAAGGACGAGTAACTAACCATCATGTGTTGGTTTAGCTTAATGGTGGCACCGGTGATCCCACTAATTGTTAATAAGAGTCTCTCTACCCCCATTCCTATTTTTTATCATTTCCCACCCCCATTATAATCATGATTATTATATATATATAATCAGCAGCTAGTCTTTGATGGGCCAAACACAGCTACTTCAATCCTCACAAAAACTCTTGGAGGTAATACTGTTATCTTCATTTTAAAGATTAGGAACACAAGGTGCCCAAGGCCACTCAGCTACTAAATGACAGAACCCAGGCTGGCTCTCCCTAAACCGCCGCCCCCCCCCCCCCAGGGGCAGGATGCTAGTGGCCTTGAGGGGCTCTCCAGAGAGGGTGGAGAGGAGACACAGCTGGATCCACATGTCTACACAGCTGGAATTTTCCGAGAGTGGCTTGGGACCTGAGCTACTAGACTGAGATCTCCAAGGAGATTGACAGCCACTCAGTGGAAATAGATACAACTCAACAAAAGGAAAACAATCCAACTAAAAATGGGCAAAGGACCTGAATAGACACTTCTCCAAAGAGGACATACAGATGGCCAAGAGACATGAAAAAATGCCCGATGTCACTAATCATCAGAGAGATGCAAACTAAAACTACAATGAGGTATCACCTCACACCTGCCAGAATGGCTACCATCAACAAATCAATGAACAAGTGCAGGCAAGGTTGTGGAGAAAAGGGAACCTAGTGCACTGCTGGTGGGAATGCAGACTGGTCCAACCATTATAGAAAACAGTATGGAGCTTCCTCAAAAAATTAAAACTGGAACTGGATATGACCCAGTGATCCCATTTCTAGGAATATATCCTAAGAATCCAGAAACACCAACAATCAGAATGTCTGCACCCCTATGTTCATAGCAGCATTGTTTACAATAGCTAAGATCTGGAAACAGCCCAAGTGCCCATCAGCGTATGAGTGAATAAAAAAGCTGTAGGCCCAAGCTGGTTTGGCTCAATGGATAGAGCATCAGCCTGTGGTCTGAAGGGTCCCAGGTTCGATTCCGGTCAGGGGCACATGGCTGGGTTGCAGGCTCGATTCCCAGTCG